GGATAGGATAGAATATAGGATAGGATAGGATAGAATATAGGATAGGATAGGATAGGATAGGATAGAGGATAGGATAGGATGGAATGGAATGGAATGGAATAGAATAGGACAGAATAGAATAGAATAGAATAGAATAGAATAGAATAGAATAGAATAGAATAGAATAGAATAGGAATTCTTTATTGGCCAAGTGTGATTGGACACACAAAGAAAATTTGTCTTGGTGCAAATGCTCTCAGGGTACATAAAGGAAAAGATACATTCGTCAAGAGTCATAAGGTACAATACTTAATGATAGTCGTAGGGTACAATAGCAGTGTTCCAGTATGTGAGGGGCTGCCCCAAAGAAGAGGGGGTCAACTTATTTTCCAAAGCACCTGAAGGCAGGACAAGAAGCAATGGATGGAAAGTAATCAAGGAGAGAAGCAACCTGAAATTAAGAAGAAACTTCCTAAGTGTGAGAACAATTAACCCGTGGAACGGCTTGCGTTCTGAAGTTGTAGGTGCTCTATCACTGGTGGTTTTTAAGAAAATACTGGACAACCACCTATCTAAAATGGTATAGGGTCTCTTGCTTGAGCAGAGGGTTGGACTAGAAGACCTCCAAGGTCCCCTTCCAGCTCTATTCTGATTATATATGTACGTTTTGCTGATTTTTAAACAACCCCATAAACCGTCCCATTTGGTGTCGTTTTCTGTCGGGGCTGCATTGACAAATAATTCCCCATTAGCCTACTTTCTGGTTTAACATGTTCTATTGAATCAAGAAATTAACCAAAGATGCTGAAGAAGATGAGAAGCAAAAGGGGGGGGGGAGAGAGAGGAGGAGGAGGAGGAGGAGGAGGAGGAGGAGGAGGAGGAGGAGGAGGAGGAGGAGGAGGAAAGAAGGAAGGAAGGAAGGAAGGAAGGAAGGAAGGAAGGAAGGAAGGAAGGAAGGAAGGAAGGAAGGAAGGAAGGAAGGAAGGAAGGAAGGAAGGAAGGAAGGAAGGTTGGTTCCCAGGGTTGAAATTACAGTGGCTTGTGTGTCTGTGCTCATATGGAAAGTCTCAATTTTATTCTGCTCCTGCTTTAGGGGGCAGGGGAGTGGCTAACTTTATCCCCTTTATCTGACCAAGCAAACTATCCTTCATCTAGTTCACATCTTGCAAATGATCTAGCTAGCACAATATTTCTTAACCTCGGCAGTTTTAAGCTGGATGGACTTCAATTCCCAGAATTCCCCAGCCAGCATTTCACTTCACTTCAGCAGGTTTTAGGATGCCCAGAGTCACCAAGTCAGTAGCACGCTGGCTGGGGGAATTCTGGGAGTTGAAGTCCTCCAGGCTTAAAGTTGCCAAGGTTGGAGACCCTTGCTCCAGAATATCCTGAATGCTGCTTCTCTGAATATCTTCCTGGTGTTCTTTGAATTAGATTTATGGGTGCATCTAGAATGAAAGTGACAGGTTGGGGTCAGTGATGCTCATCTAGGGTGCGAAGAACTTAACAGCTCTTGATCAACCATGGAGAAACACATTACTTGGTGCTTTAAGGGGGGTTTTGGCCTGGAATCCCTTTCCATGGACATCCTGACCTCTGACCTGAATAAGCTGCATGGACGTTTGCTCTTACTGGTCCAGAGAGAGCGGTAGTAAGTAGTTGGGCCTTAGAAAAACAGAACTCCAACTCTTTTCGGCCATGAACTTGCCAGCAGATTTCAGGATCCAAGTTAACCAACCTCAAAGGGGTTGCCAGTTTGATTCTAGTGGTTAAGGCACCAGGCTAGAAAAAGCAAGGGACCATGAGTTCAAGTCCTACCTTAGCCACGAAAGCCGGCTAGTTGATCTTGGGCCAGTTTTGAACCCTTTGTTTGTAAAAATAATAAAGGTGGGATGTAAATAATCAAACCAAAAAGGGATTTTGAATCCCAGGAGAAAGTGAACTTTATATTTTCAGAGGTAGAAATAATCTTAACTTTTTTCTTCTTTATGAACAGTGAACTGCCCTGTTTATTCTGTTCTCTGCCTTGAGCTCCTCCTGAAAAAAATGTGGGCTATAAATAGAATAAATGCCAAAGCCTGCATGAAGTAAAGCACAGTATGGGGTGGTGGCGTATGGGTAAACCTGGCCGTTGTGGTTAGTAAATTGTGAGTCATCGTTTACTATGGGTCTGGGTGCAGTATATTATGGCTCAGAACATGGTTGTGACTTATATTACACGAACCAAGCCAGGTTTTTTGGTTGCCTTTCTGCACAGGCTTGTATTTAGTGGGGGCTAAAAGAGATGTAGAAGAGCATAGTACTCACCACTCATTAGGTCAGAACTGATAAACACAACTCTAGTGGCGTCTATTTTCAGGTAGCTCATGGATTTTTCAAAGTAGTTTTAGCTGGGCTCCCCTTGACCAACCATCAGCGGGGAGTGTTCAACGGTCCTTGCCGATGTTTTCCGTGTCTGGCAACTTGGTCAGTCGGTCTATCAGGGGTGTCCAACCTTGGCAACTTTAAGACTTGTGGACTTCAACTCCCAGAATTCCTCAGCCAGCTTTGCTGGCTGAGGAATTCTGGGAGTTCAAATCCACAAGTCTTAAAGTTGCCAAGGTTGGACACCCCTGGTCTAGCTCAACCAGTGACCAACAGGCTCTTCTCTTCTCTTTTCTGTCCCGCCCCAGTTTCGTCTCCGCACACCTGCCTGGACTGTGGACAGCGTTTCCAATTCGAGTTCCCCTACGTGGCGCACCTGCGGTTCCGCTGCCCGAAGAGGCTGCCCGGGGCGGACAGCAGCCCAGCCCAGGACCCCAGCCCCAAAAACAGCAGCCCCAAGGAGCACGAAGGCGCCAGCAAGTTCCAGGGCAAACCGGCCGGAGGTGGCCAGATCCAGCCCCCCACCCACCGCCACCACTATCACTGCGGCCAAGACAGCAACGGCGTCGTGACCAAGCCGTCCACGGACTTCCACAACCTGGCCAGAGAGCTGGAGAACTCGCGACCGAGCAGCGGCAGCGTGTCTCCCGGCAGTCGGGAGCAGCAGCAGCAGCCGGCGGCCGGCCTCGACGGCCACGCCAGCCCCGGAGGCAAAGCTAAGCGGAAATACTCCGGAGGAGGAGACACCTTGGCCGAAGAGCGAGGCCCGTCGGGGCCCAGGGGGCGCTTGGAGAGGCCGATCCCTTCCTCGCCCAAGGAGGAGCTGGTCTGCACCCCGCAACAGCAATACCGGCCGGCGGGGAGTTACTACGGCTTGGACGACGCCAGCCGCCTCTACCGGCCGCCCAGCCCGGACACCGGCGACGCCAAGAGAAGCGCCTTCGTGGAGGTGAAGAAAGCCTCGCGCGGCGTGGACAACACAGCCGGTGGGGACGAGGAGAAAGAACAAGGCTCCCCGGCAGGCGGCGGCGGCGGCTCCGGCTCCTCCTCGACCGCGGACAAGCCGCCTCTGTCCTCGCTGCTGGGCGGCCGCTCCGCGGGCAGCGCCTTCTCCACCGTGCCCTCCTCTCAGGCCTCCGGCGCGGGCAACCCCGAGGAGCGCAAGAGCGCTTTCTCGCAGCCGGCGCGCTCCACTTTCTCGGCGCAGCTGGTGCTGGGACAGAAGTTGAGCGCACTGGTGGAAGGAGGAGCAGGAGGCGGCGGCGGCGGAGGAGGCTGCCACCCGGGCGCAGAAGGAGCCGCGCGTCTTTACGCATCGGAGCCGCACAAGCTGCCCGGGGCGCCTGGAGAGCTCGGCAGCGGGACAGGTGCGGCGGGAGGAACAGCAGGAGGAGGAGGAGGAAGTGAAGGAGCCGCTGGAGGAGTCGGGCCGGGCGGAGGAGTCGGAGGAGGAGGTGGGCTGCCCAAGCAGAGTCCCTTCCTCTACGCCACCACCTTCTGGCCCAAGAGCTCGGCGGCGGCCGTGGCTGCGGCGGCGGCGGCGGCGGCCGCGGGCCCCCTCCAGCTCCAACTGCCTTCGGCTCTGACGCTGCTGCCGCCCTCCTTCACCTCGCTCTGCCTGCCGGCTCAGAACTGGTGCGCCAAGTGCAACGCCTCTTTCCGCATGACGTCCGACCTGGTGTACCACATGCGCTCCCACCACAAGAAGGAGTACGCGCTGGAGCCGCTGGTGAAGAGGCGGCGGGAGGAGAAGCTCAAGTGTCCCATTTGCAACGAGTCCTTCCGCGAGCGCCACCACCTCTCGCGGCACATGACGTCGCACAACTAAATCCACACACACACGCGCGCGCGCGCGCATGCACCCGGCGGTGCTGCGCTTGCAAACCCGGATCCTCCACGCGCACAAGCACACGCGCCGCCGGCCCTTCGCTTCCGCAGCTGGCGCTTTTGCGCTTTTTGCAAGGATTGCGGCCGGGAGTGGGTGGGGCGGGACGGCGTGGGGCTTTTTGCAAGGCGTGGGACGAAAGGACGGTGGATTCCCGCAGGGAGGATCGCGGCTTATTGAAAAGGTGTGGCGTAAAGGTGCCCAAAGAGTTGGAAGGAAGGACAGTGTGTAGAGCGGTGCTAAGAATGCGACGCGCTTTGCAGGGCCTTGTTGGAGGTGTGCATGCTTCCATGCGTGTAAAAAAAAAAAGAAATACAAAGCACGGTTATAGTACAAAATAATAATAATAATAATAATACAATGTCCGCAAAAGAGAAGATGGTGGGTTTAATTCTGAGACGGCCTGACGTCTTATCGGTGCATTTCTGGAATGAGAAACGAAATCCTTACATGTTAGCAGTTGCAAAAGTCTTTGATTTTAGGAATACTACTCCATCCATCTTTTCAATCTGGCCTAACAGATGACCATGGGGGGGAAAACATTGACGTCACTTTTTCTAAATTGCATTTTGGAGCACCCATAATGAATGCCCCCCCCCCCCCATCCCACAGGCCATACATCCATGTAGCAAGAGGGCCCAATGAAGTCTTTAGCTGTGCTTGTGCAACAAGTTAATCCTGGCTTGTTTATGATTTAGTTAATCAATTGCAATTGGCAGAAGTTTTTGCTTCACTAAACCAGGGTATGCAAGTTACAATACCAGTTATACAATACCAGAATCTACAAACAACATTGGCTTGTTGTGCGAGAATGCCTCTGAAATGAGATTTCTGCTTTGTGCTAAGTTGAAATGTGGCTGGTTAGTGGTTTATGGTACATTTACATGTTTATGTAAACTGTAAACTCAGCGGATGGTAGTTTGTGACATTGCATGAATTCACTCATGCCATGATGTACAATGGAATGAACCTAGTCTATCGTTTCCTTTCTCTGTAACAAGATGGGCAGATTCTGGGACTGTGGGTCTCTCATGCAGGCACCTGTATTGACCTTGGCTATTAAAAAATGCATTGAATGGAAAATCTTTCAGAGCCCCATTTGGGTGTCATTTTGGTCTACCTAAACTAGGGGTCTTCAAACTCAACAGCTTTAAGACTTGTGGACTTCAACTCCCAGAATTCCTCCTCCAGTCATGTTAGCTCAGGAATTCTGGGAGTTGAAGTCCACAAGTCTTAAATTTGCAAAGTTTGAAGAACCTTGCCCTAAATTCACGGAATAGTTACAAAAATGACATTCTTCATTAGATGCACTGCTCCAGTGGAACAGAAATTGTAGGAAATTACCAAGCCGTAGATATTTGGGGCAGAGGAGTTGTTGTGAGGTTTCCAGTGCTATATTAGGAATATGCACATAAACCTATAGAAATAAATAAGCATATTTCTCTTTGATGCAAAGAATGTGAGCTGCCACTGGTTTCCTTACATAAATCAAGGAAAGGGAATTAATAGGTAGAAAAAGATAAGCTTTATGAACCAAGCTTTGAAGGTTTTTCCCCTCTAGGTCAGAGGTCTCCAACTTGGCAACTTTAAGACTTGTGGACTACAACTCCCAGAATTCCTCAGCCAGAATAGTATAAGGAGGTTAGTAGAGTTAGATCTAAAACCACTTACTTGTGAGTAATCCATAAGTAACCATTTGAACAACTGGCAGTTGTTGCTCAGCAGCTATTTGTAGCTAGAAATACTTCTGCAGTCTGCATTTACGCTTTCACAAGAACCCTACAAGATTTTGAAATGAAACTTTGTACATGCTTAATGTCCGCGGAGATTCTCAGTCATCCAGGTCATGGTTTTTCTCTAGATTCTCAGTCATCCAGGAAGTTTCTTTGGGTCTGACTGAATCCTTCCCCACCAATCCAGTCAGAGCCAAAGAAGGTTCTTGGGTGAGAAGTGAAACATCTTCGAAGAAAAAAAACAGAAAGTCCAATTGCCTCTTGAAAAAAAAAAACATCCTTGGGATGATTTGTACATGTTTACTTTGAGGACAGTCGCATGGGGCTGAATGGGGATTTCTTCAAAGTACAAGGTGTAGCATCAGGCTTCATGTCCATTTCCAATTGTAGTCATTCTGAGTTTTGAAAGCTTTTAAATATGTTTTGGGCATTGTGACCAGCAGAGCATCCAAAAACCACTCTTGAAATTTTTATGCCTGTGTATATGTTTACCTTGCAAATAATGATGATGATGATGATGATAATAATAATAATAATAATAATAGAGAGAGGGGATGGGTGGGTTGGCCCCCCCTTTTGTTTCAAATGCACGCATTTTCACTTTCCCAAAAAAGTAAATAACTTTTAAAAGTACATTTTTAAAATGTCATATATTGCAACATATTGATGCATTTGTCATACGTTTCTACTTAAATTATTAAGCACTTATGGTTTAGCTGTAATAACTATATGTAAGGGTAAAATTTATTTTAGATATAAAGCAAAATTAAAAAAAAATTAAGGAAGATGGATGCAAAGCTTTTCTGCATTATTTGATGAGGTGTTTTTTCCCCCTGTTCCTCTGCAAAAAAAAAAAAAAAAAAAAAAGTTAAGGAAAATGGATGCAAAGCTTTTCTGCATTATTTGATGAGGTTTTTTTCCCCCCCTGTTCCTCTGCAAAAAAAAAAAAAGTAATAAAATCCAGAAAGACTTGAATTCATTTTATGTTCCCCACGGGGAAATGCATGTTTTACATGGAGAAAAAAAAAGGATTAAGGACTTTGGTGCAAAATGTCTTAAGTTCTGTAAATAGGGACCTTCTTTTAATACAGTACAAAGTGTAATTTTGTGCCAGTGAAATGAAGTCTGAATAGCTACGTGTTCCTTTTTCTCCGTTCTCTCTTTTCTTTTTTTTCCCCTTGGGAAAAAAAAAAAGAGATGAAAACTTTATAGTTTATCTGGGTATGTTGGATGCTTTGACAATAAATGAGTTTATTTTCTGGCAAAGGACTTGTGTGTGGCCCAGGATTTATTTAGAAAAGCTGGCGGGGGAGGGGGAGGCGGGCAATGATTGGTTGCCTCAGAAACAGAGGATGGGAACTATCTTATGGAGATTCTCAGTCATCCCAGTTGTCCCCAACATTGCTTTTTTTCTTTTTTTTCCTTTTTCAAAAGGCAACCTAACTTTCTTGTTTTTCCTTGCAGACAGTTGTGCTTCTCATCCCAAGAAGCTTGGAAGGGAACTGAAGAAGCTTCTTGGATGAGAAGCGAAACGTCCTCAGGGGAAAAAAACGAAGAAAGTCCAGTTGCCTTTTGAAAAAAGCATCTGTTTTGCCCGTTCAGAGAATAACCAGCAGGCAAAGGATCTCGGCGCCCAGCCTTCCTTTACCTGCGGCATTTATCCCTGCAGGGAAGAACCCCCCCCAACCAGGGGTCTCCAACCTTGGCAACTTTAAGACTTGTGGACTTCAATTCCCAGAGTTCCTCCGCCAGCAAAGTTCCTCGGGAAATCTGGCTGAGGAACTCTAGGAGTTGAAGTCCACAAGTCTTAAAGTTGCCAAGGTTGGAGACCTCTGCCCCAAACTACTAGAATAGAGGTCTCCAAACTTGGCAACTTCAAGACTTGTGAACTTCAAAACTTCCAGAATAGAAAATCCTGCTCCTAAACGAGAATATCCTGGGGCCATTTTTGGCCACGGACTGTACCGGATTCTGGACTGGTGGGGATATTGTTTGGTTCCTGGGCGATCCTGCCAGAAGTGGATCATATTATTATCCTGCCGCTTCAAGTTTCGCGCTCCTCTTGGATTCTTCCCACGCCAGTGCTGGAACTCAGCTGTGGAGACACGGGTCTCCGCCCAGATTTCCCCATCAGTTTGAAGGGCAAAGGCAAGCAGGCTAACCTCAGATCCACCCACTGCTGCCTGGAATGGAGGGAAGTTTTGAAACCAGGACTGATTACAGTGTGAAGAGAAAGTGGATTTTCTGACCGTGGGAACAATTAACCCATGGAACAGAAGTAGCCTTCGGAAGTGGTGGGAGCTTCATCCTTGGAGGCTTTCAAGAAGAGACTGGACTGCCACCTGTCAGAAATGGTGTAGGGCAGGGGTGTCCAACCTTGGCAACTTTAAGACTTGTGGACTTCAACTCCCAGAATTCCTCAGCCAGCTTTGCTGGCTGAGGAATTCTGGGAGTTGAAGTCCACAAGTCTTAAAGTTGCCAAGGTTGGACACCCCTGGTGTAGGGTGTCCTGCTTGGGCGGGGTGGGGGTTGGACTAGATGACCTACAAGGTCCCTTCCCAATCTGTTAATCTGTATAAGGAGGAGGAGGAGGAGGGGACTCTCCTTTACAAGACAGGTCATTTGGGTTTGGGTTTTTTGTTTTTTTGGAATTTATCCCAATTATTTATCCATAAATAGTGCCTTGCATTTACACCTGGAAACATTTCAGGGACATCTAAGATGCCCTGGCTGGATTTCAAGCAGGTGATCCTACAGACATCAGAATGGGACGCTAGTCAAGACCGGGTGGTTTTGTGCCTTTGGAAACGCTCTGGATGGGGGCATTTAATCTCCCCCCAAAAAACGTTTAGGTTTGGAGAGAGAGAGACAGAGACAGAGACAGAGACAGAGAGAAACAGAGACAGAGACAGAGACAGAGACATAGAGTTCCTTGGGCTTTCCATCCAGAGTCTTCCAAGAGCCGGGTTGCCTTCTGCTGGCCTTTTTCTTTTTCTTTTTGGCCATTTAGGAGCGCAGGGCTGCCGCGCTCCTTGAAACCTAATCGGACTCCAGAACATCCCAGCCATAAAGAGAAAAGGGTAATGAACGACAATCCACGGAGTTGCGCGGGGCTGAATCTTCGGGGAAGGATCCTAGCCTTGCGAGGTGGACGCCGCCTCCGTCGGGAAGCCTCCCTGCAGCCACCGGGTTTCGGCTGCGCGCAAACGG